CCCGAGCCCGAGGGCATCCCGGCCCGGCCCGGTCCTGCCGCGGGGGCCATGGGCTGGGCCAGGCCAGGCCGAGGGCACAGGGCGCCCGCCCGGGGGTGCGGGCCCATTGCTGCCCGGGGGCTGAGGGTGCGGGTCGATTGGTGCCAGGGGTGCGGGTCCAGCAGTGCGGAGGCTGGGGGTGAGGGTCCAGTGGTGCTGGGGGCTGGGGGTGCAGATCCAGTGGTACCCAGGGGCCAAGGGTGCGGGTCCAGTGGTGCTGGGAGTCAGGGGCATGGGTTCAGCGGTGCCTGGGGCCTTGGGGTGAGTCCAGCAGTGCTTGGGGGCTGGGGGTGTGGGTCCAGCGGTGCCAGGGGCTGGGACTCGGGGGCAGAGGCACAGGGACGTGGGGTGTGCAGTGGCATCTCTGGGGCAGGGCTTGCACCCGGGTCCAGGTGACAGGATCGGGCCCGTGGCTGCAGCCCAGTGTGGGGCTCGAGCTGCTTTTGGTCGTGCCCGGGGGGCAGCATCGGGCGGTGCTCTTGGGGCCTCGGCCACTCACCCACCCTGCACGCCGCTGGCCTGGTGCAGGCCGGAGCGATTTGCGCTCTGCTCCGGCAGCTCCTCCTACACTGGCACCGGCTCAGGCTTCACGGGCTAAAAATACCGCGCGGGCTGGCCTCAGCAGACACGGGATTAGTCTGGCTGGGGCAGGGCTGTGCGGACATGCCTCGATGGGGCACCGGCTGCAGCGCCCACCTGCTGCAGACGGGGGGTCCCGTGGGCGTCCGGCTGTGCCGCCTCGCCGTGCCCGCGGCTTCCGGCCAGGCAAGTCCGTGTCAGGATGGTCATGTGGGCAGGGTGGCGCCAGGCCACATGGGAGGGGCCGTGGCACAGGGGTGCACTATGCCACGACCTGGGGCTAGAGCACGGTGGCTGCTGGTGGGCGCTGTGACTGCTGGCTGGGGCTGTCACCCGCTGGGGCGTGACACAGGCTGGGCACTGGGCAAAGCACATGTCTGGTGGGGAGCCTGGGCACAGGGCATTCACCTGCTCTGGCCGCTGAATCGTGCCAGCAGAGACAGGGTGGCTCCATGTCGGTCTGGGGTGTTGGCACCACTTCTTTGGGGCCAGGCACCGGGCAGCTGCGTCCACTCCTGGGTCAGAGGCTATTTATAGTTGAGTGCGTCTGAGCCGCGGTGTCTTGGCCTGTGAAGGGTCCTTGATGGCCTGCCAGAGCATCCTGGGCCAAGGGTGCTGGAGCAGCGAGGCCTGGCAGGGAGGTGGGCAACGGGGGCCCGGGGCTGCCCGAGGGTCTTGCCGAGTTCTGCTGTGGGGCTGGGCTGCTCCATCCTGCTGCTCCCACAGCCTTCATCCTCCTCCACGGGCCCGTGGCCGTGACCTGGTTATTCCCCAGCTCGAGCCCGGCAGCAGGGCAGGTCGGAGGGGCCAGGGCCCTGCTCCCAGCTGGTGGGGCTGGGCAGGGGCTGCTGTAGGAGAAGTGAAGGGTCTGGCTGGGGCGGGGGGCCGCAGCCGCCCGATGCCTGACCTGGCGCTGCCCCCTGGCCCATGGCAGGTCGGTCCCTGTGGCTCCCCGGCATGAAGCTGAAGAAGCAGGTGACGGTGTGCGGCGCCGCCATCTTCTGCGTGGCCGTCTTCTCGCTCTACCTGATGCTGGACCGCGTGCAGCACGACCCTGCCCGGCACCAGCATGGGGGCAACTTCCCCAGGGTGAGTCGCTGGTCGCAGGCCCGTGCTGCCTGCCCCCTCCGCCCGTGCTGCTGCGCCAGGGTCGCTGGAGCTGCAGGCGGCCGCGGGAGCGAGGAGCGGGGAGCACGCGCCCTCCTCACGCCGGCTCCTGTGCCCGCAGAGCCAGATCTCGGTGCTGCAGAACCGCATCGAGCAGCTGGAGCAGCTGCTGGAGGAGAACCACGAGATCATCAGCCACATCAAGGACTCGGTGCTGGAGCTGACGGCCCACGCGGAGGGGCCGCCGCTGCTGCTGCCCTACCACACGCCCAACGGCTCCTGGGTGCTGCCCCCCGAGGCGCGGCCCAGCTTCTTCTCCATCTCCCCGCAGGACTGCCAGTTCGCCCTGGGCAGCAAGGGCCACAAGACGGAGCTGCAGGTGAGCCAGGGCCCAGGGAGCGGGCCGGGGCAGGTCCCCATGGCCGCGGCGGCCATGCTGACCCGGTCCTGGCCCCACAGATGCTGGCCGTGTACTCGCTCCTGCCCTTTGACAACCAGGACGGCGGGGTGTGGAAGCAGGGCTTCGACATCACCTACGAGCCGCACGAGTGGGACGACGAGCCCCTGCAGGTCTTCGTGGTCCCGCACTCCCACAACGACCCAGGTGAGCGGCAGGCTGCAGCGGGCCCTCTCCCAGGTGGGGCGGGAAGGGGCTTGTCCAGGGCACATGGCCCCCCGGCCGAATGCCCCAGGCCATCTCCCAGTACAGCACGCTGGACGCGCCTCGAGCCACGCCCAAGGGAGAAGGCCATGTTCCCCGTGGGCCCGCAGGCCGTGCAGCAGGGCTGTGTGCTGGGCGTGGGGGCGGTGCAGGCTTTGCAGTGCTGAGCACTGGGGCAGGGCTGGGCTGGGCACTGGGGCAGTGCAGGCTGTGCTGCGCTGGGCATGGGGGTAGGGCTGTGCTGTGCCGGGCTGTGTGGGGTCACTGCCTCGCTCTGCCCAGGTTGGATCAAGACCTTCGACAAGTACTACTATGACCAGACACAGCACATCCTGAACAGCATGGTGCTGAAGATGCAGGAGGACCCGCGCCGCCGCTTCATCTGGTCCGAGATCTCCTTCTTCTCCAAGTGGTGGGATAACATCAGCTCCCAGAAGCGGGCCGCTGTGCGCAGGTGCGGGGGGCAGGGGCTGGGGACCCCCAGCTGGTCGGTGCGTTACCCTGAGCCGCGTAGCCTGGGGAGCTGGCCGTCGGACCCTGGGAACTGGGCCAGCTGTGCGCAGTCCCCACAGGAGGGACGTGGGGGTTAGGCACCAGCCTTGACTCTAAGGCATCCTTGTGGGGCTGCCCATGGGGCCCTATCTGTGGAGGGTGCTGTGGGGTGGGCTTGCCTGTGCTCGCTGCCCCACACTCCCCCTCCCCGTCCCCCCAGGCTGGTTGGGAATGGGCAGCTGGAGATGGTGACGGGCGGCTGGGTGATGCCCGACGAGGCCAATTCCCACTACTTTGCCATGATCGACCAGCTCATCGAGGGGCACCAGTGGCTGGAGAAGAACATCGGTGAGTGCTTGGGGGGGCAGGGACCTCACAGCCCCCTGAGCCAGCTGGGGCATGGTGGGGCCTGGGACTGGACTGCAGTCTTGGCCCCCTCCCCGCTGGAGTCTCCCTCTGGCTTTGGGAAGGGCAGGGTGTGAGCTGCAGCATGGAGGTGGCTGGGCCACGTTGCCCTGATGCATCTACCCACACCCCTGTAGGTGTGACCCCGCGGTCTGGTTGGGCAGTGGACCCCTTTGGGCTCAGCCCCACCATGCCCTACCTGCTGAAGCGCGCCAACCTGACCAGCATGCTCATCCAGCGCGTGCACTACGCCATCAAGAAGCACTTTGCCGCCACCCAGAACCTGGAGTTCATGTGGAGACAGACCTGGGGTGAGCGGCTGCTGCCTGGGGGCAGGGAACAGGGCAGGGGGCTTGGCACGGGGTCTGTCCCTGGCTGGCCACGGTGGGCTGCTGAGCCCTGCCTGTCTGGAGCCACCAAGGCTCTGGGCTGCACTGGCAGGAGCGGTGCCAGCAGATCGAGGGCAGTGATTCTGCTCCTCTATTCAGCGCTGGGGAGGCCACATCTGGAGTCCCGTGTCCAGTTTTGGGCCCCCCATGACAGGAAGGAGGTAGACAAATTGAAGAGAGTCTAGGGCAGGGCAGTGGAAATGGTGAGGGGCTGGGGGACAGGACTGGGGAGGAGAGGCCAAGGGACCTGGGCTGATTGAATCTGCAGAAGAGCAAACCGAGGGGGATTGAATAGCAGCCTTCACCTCCCTGCGGGGGGCTGCAAAGAGGATGGAGCTGGACTGGTCTCAGTGGGGGCAGGTGACAGGACAAGGAGCAATGGGCTCAGGCTGCAGCAAGGGAAGTTGAGGTTGGATACTAGGAAAAACTTTCTCATGCGAAGAGTAGTAAAACACCAGAACAGGCTCCCCAGAGCGCTGGTGGACTCTCCATCCTTGGAGGTGTTTAAGACCCGGGTAGACAAAGCCCTGGCTGGGATGCTGTAGTTGGTGCTGGTCCTGTTCTGAGCAGGCGGCTGGACTAGATGTGACCTCCTGAGCTCCCTTCCAGCCCTAATCTATGATTTCTCCCCGGTGCCCTCCCCATCACGGCCCCCCCAGCTCTTGGTGAGGAGTGTCGCAGAGCTCCCCTGCCCTCCTCTTGCACCCTGTGCCCCCTTCGGCTAGAACCCAGGCACCGTCTCCTGCAGGCTGCCCCTACGGTGCCAGGGCTCTCCCGCCAGCCCCTGCCCAGGTCATAGTGATATAAGAACAGAAAAGCTGCCATGTCCTGGCTCAGACCCTGTGTCCATCCTGTCCAGTGTCCTGTCACACGGCGGCAGAGAGCAGAGGCTGGAAGGGAGAGTGACTGGCTCTGACCGAGGTTTTCCCCTGCTCCTCTCCTACCAGCACCCTCCAGCACTGAGGGTCCAGGCAGCTGCGCTGCAGAGGCCGTGCCCTCGCCCCCCTGCTCTGGAGCGACTGACACCCTTTTCCTCCAACCATGTGTCCGGTCCCCTTTTGGACCTGGTGCCCTTTCAGCGACCACCACATCTGGTGCCACGAGTCCCTCGCTTGAATTCACGCTGCGTGCAAAAGAACGGCCCGGTGGTCGTTCCAAACTCCCTGCTGTGACCCCTGCTTCTTGTCTGCCACCAGACAGCCAACGCCAAGTTCCTATTTCCGTTCTCTTCACTGTTTCTGGTAGTATTTTGTAAACCCTTAATCACGCCCCCCTCCAGCCCCTCTTTTCTAAGCTGACCAGGCCTGGCCTTAGTCTGTCCTCCTAGGGCAGCCCCTCCGCCACTCCTCATCCCTGTTTCCCTTCTCTGGGACTTCTCCAGTTCCCCTACATCCCCTACACTTGCTGTTCTGCTCACTATTCCCTTCTTCGTCACCCTGATGTACTGTCTGCCACTTCTGGTCCTGGCCCCTGTGGCTCTGCTGTGCCCCAGCCCCTTCCCCCGGTCCGCTGCTCCCTCGTGCCCAGGCCCAGCTCGCTCTCTTGTCACGGCCGTGGCTGGAACGGCCCCTCCCGTGTGACTGTGCCCCCACGGGCCATCGCCCACCCTCTGGCTGCCTGGCTCCAGGGGGGGCCCAGGTGGTCGATGCCCCGACCCTGTTCCCATGCCCGTGTGCCCTGGCCGTGCGTGCCCAGCCCTGCCGTGCTGGGAGGTTGTGCCGGCCCCACGCAGTGCCTGGGCTGTGCCTGTGACTGGTTCGGCCTCCGCAGATCCGGACTCCAGCACCGACATCTTCTGCCACATGATGCCCTTCTACAGCTATGACGTGCCCCACACCTGCGGCCCTGACCCCAAGATCTGCTGCCAGTTCGATTTCAAGCGCCTGCCTGGTGGGAGGATCAACTGCCCCTGGAAGGTGCCGCCCAGAGCCATCACCGACGCCAACGTGGCCGAGAGGTGAGTGCCGTGGCATCGCGAGCTCTGGCACGGCCCCTGCCCGGCAGCGCTGAGCCAGTGCCGGTCCCACGCCGGCCCCCGGCTCAGCCACGGCGGTTGCTCCCGCGCAGGGCACAGCTGCTGCTGGACCAGTACCGCAAGAAGTCCAAGCTGTACCGCAGCAAGGTGCTGCTGGTGCCGCTGGGCGACGACTTCCGCTACGACAAGCCCCAGGAGTGGGACGCCCAGTTCCTCAACTACCAGCGCCTCTTCGACTTTCTCAACGCCCGCCCTGGCCTCCACGTGCAGGTACCACGGGGGGACCCCTGACCTGTCCCCTGCGTGGCCCCTACAAGCTGTGGCCCGTACCTCACAGCCATGGCACCGCAGGCGCAGTTCGGGACCCTCTCCGATTACTTCGACGCCCTCTACAAACGGACGGGCATTGTGCCCGGGATGCGGCCGCCCGGGTTCCCGGTGCTGAGCGGCGACTTCTTCTCCTACGCGGACCGCGAGGATCACTACTGGACCGGCTACTACACCTCCCGGCCCTTCTACAAGAGCTTGGACCGTGTGCTAGAGTCCCACCTCCGGTGAGGGGCCGGCGCGGGGCAGCCTGGGGCGGGGCGGGCGAGGCAGGGCAGAGGCCTGGGGTGTAGGGCGGTGCAACGGGTGACAGCCCTGCGTCCGTGCCAGGGGCGCTGAGATCCTGTACAGCCTGGCGCTGAGCCACGCGCGGCATGCTGGCATGGACAGCCGGTACCCGCTGGCGGACTACGCCCCGCTG